ATTTGTAGTCCTTTATAGCTGGTGGTATTCTGCATTGTTGTATAATGTATTGATGGGATTTGTGCTCCTCTATAGCTGATGGTTTTCTGCATTGCTGTATAATGTATTTCTGAGATTTGTAGTCATCTATAGCAGGTGGTATTCTGCATCGCTGCATAATGTATTGCTGGGATTTGTAGTGCTCTATACAGTGGCAGAACTACCAGGGTCACAGCAGTTGCAGCTGCGACTGGGCCCTTGTGTTCTGCCACTTGAGACAGGGACAGAAGGAAGGGGGCCCTGGTAACTGCTGACATTGCTGGTTGCCAGGCCCCACTTCCTTCAGGCTTGGTCAAATTAACAAATCCTGCACACAAAAGTGTCAGGATTTGTTAAAAAAGGCACAATTGCTGTTATACATAACAAACAACTGCAATGTAATGTATTTTTGGAATATTGGGTTCTGTAAGCAACACCTTCTTTTCTTGCAGTTCCCTTCCTGAGACAAGACTCTGGATCTGCCCCCGGCATGCTATGACATAAGCTGCAAGCAGGGCCGGATTCCCTACAAGGCCACCGAGGCAGCAAAGAGCAGAGGAGCGGCACAGCCTGCAGCTTCTCCTCGGATCCCTGCTTCTGTCCCCCACCTGTATGGGCAGAGGCAGTGGGGATCCAAGGATCCAAGCTGCTCTGTGCGTGGCCAAGCAACTCCTGCCACTATTACAGTGCAAAGCTGTCCTGCAGCCAGGAAAGATCCTGACAATATTGTTGGGATCCAACCCACCACCTGATTGACAGCTGACTCTGCCTCTCTAGAGCCAGAGCCAGCTGTGCCTGTCCCTGCTTCATCTGTACCTTCAGGGGCGCTGGAGGAATGGAGAGGGGAGGGGGAATCCCTGCAGGGAGTGAAGACTGACAGTCACCACTCTCTGCAGAGAGATTTGTAGTCCTTTATAGCTGGTGGTATTCTGCATTGTTGTATAATGTATTGATGGGATTTGTGCTCCTCTATAGCTGATGGTTTTCTGCATTGCTGTATAATGTATTTCTGAGATTTGTAGTCATCTATAGCAGGTGGTATTCTGCATCGCTGCATAATGTATTGCTGGGATTTGTAGTGCTCTATACAGTGGCAGAACTACCAGGGTCACAGCAGTTGCAGCTGCGACTGGGCCCTTGTGTTCTGCCACTTGAGACAGGGACAGAAGGAAGGGGGCCCTGGTAACTGCTGACATTGCTGGTTGCCAGGCCCCACTTCCTTCAGGCTTGGTCAAATTAACAAATCCTGCACACAAAAGTGTCAGGATTTGTTAAAAAAGGCACAATTGCTGTTATACATAACAAACAACTGCAATGTAATGTATTTTTGGAATATTGGGTTCTGTAAGCAACACCTTCTTTTCTTGCAGTTCCCTTCCTGAGACAAGACTCTGGATCTGCCCCCGGCATGCTATGACATAAGCTGCAAGCAGGGCCGGATTCCCTACAAGGCCACCGAGGCAGCAAAGAGCAGAGGAGCGGCACAGCCTGCAGCTTCTCCTCGGATCCCTGCTTCTGTCCCCCACCTGTATGGGCAGAGGCAGTGGGGATCCAAGGATCCAAGCTGCTCTGTGCGTGGCCAAGCAACTCCTGCCACTATTACAGTGCAAAGCTGTCCTGCAGCCAGGAAAGATCCTGACAATATTGTTGGGATCCAACCCACCACCTGATTGACAGCTGACTCTGCCTCTCTAGAGCCAGAGCCAGCTGTGCCTGTCCCTGCTTCATCTGTACCTTCAGGGGCGCTGGAGGAATGGAGAGGGGAGGGGGAATCCCTGCAGGGAGTGAAGACTGACAGTCACCACTCTCTGCAGAGTGAAGATCGGGAACTGAGTTACTTACATCGCTCTTTACATTGGTGGTCCGTGGGAAGAATGCATCTTACATTGGTGATCAGTGGGAACTATGCTCCTTACATTGGTGGTCAGTGCGAAGAATGCTCTTTACATTGGTGGTCAGTGGGAAGAATGTTCCTTATGTTGGTGGTCAAAGGGAAGAAACCTCCTTACATTGGTGGTCAGTGTGGAGAATGTTCATTACATTGGTGGTTAGTGGGGAGAATGCTCCTTACATTGGTAATCAGTGGGAAGAATGTTCCTTACGTTGGTAGTCAGTGGGAAGAATGTACCTTACATTGGTGGTCAGTGGGATGAATGGCCCTTTTGTTGTTGGTCAGTGAGAAGAATGCCCCTTATGTTGGTAGTCAGAATGAATGCCCCTTATGTTGGTAGTCATTGGGAACAATGCTCTTTACTTTAGTGGTCAGTGGGAAGAATGCCCAGGGCTGGCACTAGCATAAGGCTGCATGGGCAGCCATCTGAGGGCATCGGGGAAGGGGGTGCAGAAAAATGCACCTTCAGCAATATTACACAAAGATCATTGATAGCCTTGGGGTGGTCATTTTTTCAAAGTGTGATAAAGTTTCATCATTTTACATATGCCTAATAAGTACAATAGATCCCAAACAGCAGATAAGAGAATATGAGAAATAATGTAATGCCACAGTTGATAAACAAGAAGAAAGAAGGGTAGCAACAGTGATGCTTAGGTTCACAATCTTATGCATATTACCCACTGGATTTTACCCTGATCTTAAAATAAACTTGTCATAAGAGAAACATGGAGACTGCTGTGTTGACTACTTGAAAATTCTAGTTGACTGGTTGTTATGCTGAGTGGCTGACCTAAAACAATTATGCAGATAAGTCAGAGGAAAGTCAGAATTCCTTATGTGTATTGTTTTGTTTTAGATAACATTGAGAGGGGCTAGAACCCATTAGTCCTTTCTGTCATGTATTTATTAAACTTGTAGAGAGCGGATTAGGATGCAGGATGCATCAAAAGCCAGTGATTATAATTCCAGGCCCTTAATTCACAGCAAACTTTGCAATCGCCCTTCAAGAGCTTCTACTTACAGAAAAGTTGATGGTGGATCCAATATCTCAGTAGCAGCCTCTCTTAATAGATTGGCTCTTTGACTTTATATGGCAGCACAGTCACAAGTAACTTGAATAGTTGAGCATAGTTGGAAACAGAAATCCCAATGCAATATCCTTACAAGTAGGCACCATACTGCACAGCATAATCCACAGAAGATGCTCCCTCTGGGTAGCCACCTTCTCTTTGACCTCCGCCACAGGCCAGCTTTAGGTTCTTTAGGCATCTTTAGGCCTCTGCCCCCTACAATTGCATCCTCTCCAAGCAGGAACCCAAGAGAGTCACCCCTAATAGGTATCCTCTTCCTCAATAAATCCCCCTACATATTTATCATATTTCTCACTTGAATAAACCCCTCAGTGATTGTCCATGGCAGAAAAAAAATTCATAACCCACTACATTCTTACTTCTCACCTTAAATACTGGAGAACACTCAACAGCAGCAAGAAAACCCAAATGGCTTAAAAGAAATTGAATGTGCACAGATAACAAAATAAAGCTCAGACTGGCAGGGTTCCTACAGTTGTGTGGACAAAGCAACAACAAATAGATGGGGAGGATTGATAACTTTTGGCCTGTGAGGAAAAGACAACTAGCTAGCCCATTCATGGTAGGAAGTATTAAGCTGAAGAAAGTATTAAGAACCAGAGGTCTTGCTGAACTCCTTACCGGAACATCCAAGAGACCCATGCAAATGGGTGGGTGAATAACACAAATTAAGAAATAATGTCACCAGCACACCATCGTGGTAATTAAGCAATAGTCCATTTAATGACATATTGCCATTCAATGCTGAAGAAAGTATACCACAAAAAGTGTACCATGGTGCCACATTTATTGATGGGCACAATGAAAGGTGGGTGTTTCTTAAAGACAAGGCTTAATGTGATGACCAGCATGTGTCACTGACTTGGGGCCCTGCTCTGATCAATATTTGAATAGTAAGGCATGTTCACTAAGGTCCTCCAGCCTAACATGTCTTATCAGTACTGGCCTACCAGCCCAGTCCTCCTTTGAATGAAAGATACAATACTTCCTCTTCATATGATCAATTTAAAATTCAAACGCTGTGTTCACAATCTTTCAATATGTTCCACAAACACCCATCAGCAGCAAAGCACAAATGCCCATTTGCACAAACTCTTAAAGTTCAAGGAGATTATGAGAACATATTGTAGAGAGACATTTTATGACAAAGATTGATTCCTTTCCTTAATCTTATGAAAGAGATAAGTCAATAATGACAGCCTGTAGAAAGTGATAGGCTACACAGTAAGCTTAGACAAATGTAAAATCTACCAATTTCCTTGCATGAACTGCAGCTTTTGTATACATGCTGTAGTTGTGAACTTTAGAAACATATCTTTCACATAATCTAAAAAAAATGCAATTCATGGAGAGGTTGGAAGGAAGTGAAATATTTCAAGCTCAGAAAAGTAGTTTGGCCACCTGGGATTTCCCAGAAGGGTGAGTGAGGCCATGGCTAGCCATACATGTGCAGATCATTTTCGTCCAGCCTGAACAAGAGACTTCACTTGATTCCCCATTCAAGCTAAACAACGTAGAAGGAGAAATCAGCACTGTCCACCATTGTATTTAGAGAGCTGCTGACACCCCCAGCTGCCTGAATGGCAAAAGAGTGACTGTATTTAATTGGATGCATACACTGTTGTGCTGACAAACCTCTACCTTTGCGTTTTGAAATTGATTTTTTTTTTTTGGAGCAGGGTAGTGTTGAGAGGGACACCCATGGCTCCACACCTCATTGGCTGATTTGGCAGGAATTGGCTAAACATTCAAGCTGTGTATGGCTGAGAGGAACTGTTCAGCCTAACTTAACCTTGCATTATTAAAACAGCAAAATTACTAATACAATGTCAAGGATGTATATCTTAAATATAAAATTTTTATAGCTATTTTGGCTAAAATTATGAAAGCTTTTCATGTCAGACAGCTTCAGTCCACTATTGTATCTGTCCTTTAAATAGTACAAACACTTGAATGGTACATTGTTGTTCAGCAGAGTAATTAAATGACACACCTACCTCATAAGTACTAGTGATTCCCGAACGGTAAAAGACAGGGAGGAAGAGCTCTGCCGTAAAAAGAACCACAAAGGTGTAGGCTATGAAAAACAAGACAAAGGATGCTCCAAAACGGTATACCTCTGCAGGAGCACCTAAAATTGTCACTGCTGACATAAAGCTGGCAGTTAGAGACAAAGCTACTGGTCCACATGTCATCGATCTTCCACCAATAAGAAAATCTGCAGATGTTGTCTTTTTTCTCTCTTTTATGGCAAAAAATACACCAATGCTTGCAGATACTAAAAATAGGGATGCAAATACAACAAAGTCCCAAGCAGCAAAGGTAATAATTTTAGGTACAACAAATTGAGACATTGTGCTACAAAAATACAGTTAGCAAAACCAAAAAACTTCCAAGTCAATTCCTTCACTTAGGGAAAGGGAAACATATTCTTCACTGGCATTAAAGAGGGCAGAGGACACTCAGTGCCTTTTATGCATTTTTTTTTAGTTGAGTTAACTATTACTTTGAATAATGTAACTCAGCAATTCTGCCACTTCCACCACCCACAGGCCATAGTTCTTCTACTATGGATGCTATGGTTAGATAGACTAGATAAGGGAACCCATTCCTTGAGTGGCTAATTCAAAATTGAGTATTTATTTAAGTGTGTCATTAGTTATTTGGCTAAACTTGTGTTTTATAACACTTAACTGCAAATCGTGTTCCTTTTAAGGTAGAGGGTAGAAGCACCAAAGTCCCAAATCTGTGCACTATGGTCCCATATCAACGTCAAAATCATTAAAGATGTTTATTCATGGAGAGATAATAATTTAGCATGACTATATGGACTACATGATGTATGGCTCATCAAAACGGTTGTATGAATACAGCCATTGCAGTGTTACACTGTGTCTCAGCATATTCTTAAAGTCCCAAATGCATAACCCTATATTCTTATGCATGGCATGACACTGTCTTCCTTTAGCTCTTTGTATGATGTTAAAGTGACCCTGTTGGGGAAGGTAGGGGGAGGAATCAGAGCAGCAATAGTCTAAGACAGATGCCGGGATGCAACGCTTGGGCACATCATTTGTGCCAAAACGGACCAGGAGGTAGATAAACTCTATTTGTAAGTAAATGAAAAACATGGTTGTTTAACTAATGGATGTAAGATAATTTTAACCACTTCCCGGCCGGCCGTTGTAAAAAAACGGCCGGCCAGGAGCTATCTAGATCTGAGCGGGCGTCTTTAGACGTCCGCTCAGCCACGCCCCCGTTATTTGAAAACAGGCAGTGATGCCCGTTAATATACAAGTGATCCGCCGGCTATAGAGCTGGCAGATCGCTTGTATGAGGTCACATGAATTGCGCCCACCCCCCTCCCCTGGCTCCACCCCTCCCGCTGTCAAGCTGGTCCCGGGCTCCGCTGTGCCCGGTGCGAGCCCAGGACCAGCATACGGCCTCTGTCACAGGGGATCAGAGGGAGCTCGGTACACGAGCTCCCTCCGGTCCCATCTCCACTGTCAGAATGCGGAAGTGTTGTATAATACATCACTTCCGCATTCTCGTGTCACTCTCCAGCTTCAGATGCAGGAGAGAAGCTGATGAAGCAGATCTCTGCTTCATCAGCTTCTTCAGGGGGGTCCTAGGTGACAATGATGTCTTCATAAGTATGACCTGTCACATATTTTGCTATCACATAAGGAGGTTTTCTAACCCCCCTATGTGATAGCAATAAAGTTAAGTGAAACAAAAATAGGAAAAAAAAATTAAGTGTCCCCCCCCAAATGTAAAGTTACAAATAAAAAAGAAATATTAAATTATTATAATTTTTTTTAAAGTCTCCCCCATACATACACGCATGCAAACAGGCGTCGGGTGCGCATACGTGCGAAAACAACGATTTCGCCCATTGTGCCGCACGTTACATATCATTATGAATGTCGGAATGAGAGCAATAGTTCTATGGCCATCAATCACTGATAACACTAAACTGATGAGCTGTAAAAGCTTTTAAAGCGTCGCCTATGGTCAATTTTGGGTATGGTAGTTTTTTGCGATTTCGTGGGTGCGCGCAATTTTAAAGCATGACATGTTTGGTGTCTATTTACCCGACGTGACCCCGTCTTTTATATGTTACCAAAACTATGGTTAATAATCATTGTTTCCTAACAAAACGGAAAAAAAAAAAATTCCCAAAAAATTTCAATAATTTTTCCTTAATATAGTAAACAATAAAAACCCCAGTGGTGATTAAATACCACCAAAAGAAAGCTTTATTTGTCCCCAAAAAATGGTATAACATTCATTTCAGTGCAGCGTTGCATGACGGAATAAACGTCAGTCAAAGTACTGCAGCGCTGAATACTGAAAAATGGCCTGGCCAGGAAGGGGGTCTAAACACCTGGTCTTGAAGTGGTTAAATCAGCATGCAGAGCTGCATACTGATGTGATTTTTAGTGAAAGGGGGTAAAGTTGTTACCCCTAGTGAGTATAAGCCTTACTGGCTTGTGATCCGCACTTCCTTTTTATGTACCAGTTGATTCATGTTCATTTGCATTTTTTATTTTTTACTTTTTGTATCATTGTCTGTCTTTCTTCCAGAACTACAAATTTACACATCTTCGTATTGCAGCAATGAGTAAAATCTTTACAATCTAATGAAAGTCCCCTTTCCATTCTTAGATAAATGTTCATGTTCTAGAAGTGATTACACACAGTTAATGATTCTATCAGACAGTGATGCATGTAACTTACATGGTAATAATCAGCAGATTAGTGCAGTAAATCACTGAATAACATAACCATTAAGGAAATAACACCTGTTAGCATAATAATGAGAACACAGTGTAACATCTGTGATTAAGGCATGATAAACAGTAGAAAAATGTCACCAGCACACCATGAGTTGAAAAAGCAAAATATTTTATTGCCAGTAGCTGTATCTCATTGGCAAGCGCTTTCGGGGCCTCGCAGGGTCCCCTTCATCAGGCTTAGAGATAACAGTGAAGTGAAAGACATACAACAATATATACCTAGACATACCAATCAACTGGGTGCTGTGAAACCACTCCCATCCCCCTAGGGCGTTGGTATGACATCACACCTGCCGTTAAGTATTTAAAAAGGACGTGTGCAGAATGATGTAAATACCAGCCATATCTATTAAACCATCAGTGACTCCAAACAGCACATAAAAGTGTGAATCACCCAGGGTCAGTAGCCCAAGGGCTCACAATGCAAATTTTACCTTGAGCATTGGGGTGATAGTAAACCACTCATACAGTCAGTTTGATCATAAAAGTTAGATCAAACGCTGGCTGTTAGGTGTATAATTACTGTGGGAGGTGCCGAATGGAAAAAAAGGCAGTAATGAAACCCTATAACAGAAACAGGCAATAATGAAGCCTTATGGCAGAAATGCAATAGTATATCAATCAACAATGCACCTATAATGCAACCGCATATGCACCGTTTGCACATGTCCATACTATAAAGAGGGTTGCTCTGCCCCACTCGGACAGGGCCCCCCTATGTGTTATTGAGATTTAAAAATTTTACCATGTGCAGATGAAATAATTGCATTACAACAACAACATTATGTATAGGGTATGCAAAAAACCACTAGGCAGGAAAATTATGGATGGAACAACAAATATAAGTGACATATAAGTGAAAACCAAACGTGAAAATGAATGTGAGATGAGATACAGCTACTGGCAATAAAATATTTTGCTTTTTCAACTCATGGTGTGCTGGTGACATTTTTCTACTGTTCATGTGTGGCGGTGCCATCCGCAGTCATTTCGAGCACCCATCTTCATCAAGTGGGAATCCCGGTAAGGAGTGCGGTATGGTTCCTGTTTATTCAAGTAAGGCATGATAAACACACAAAAAATAAATATAATTGGCAATAAAAGTTCATTTTTCTTTAAAGTAGTATTAAACTTTCAATTTTTTTTCAATAACAATGGACAAGTTTTATCAAACGTTTTGCTTCCTGAAAACTACACAACACTATTTACATACAGAATGACTGTATCATGGAGTAATCTTGAGAAATATGACATTTCTCTTTTAATCACTAGAGCGTGTTTAATTGCATAAAGTTAATTTAAATATAATGCATCATTTCCAATATGTAGCACAAGCTCAAGAGGACTAAAACATTTTTGTTCCTGATTTGTGGTTGTCGTCAGTGCCTGGTGCATCTTGTTGCAGTGTGCAGCAATAGTCGGCCAGTATTGATGGATTCCAGTTGCTGTGATATTGTTTTTCCATTATGGCAATGTCCTGGTTCACCATGTTCATCATGTTCATCACTGACTGCACCTAGATTTTTGGGGAAAAAAGTCCAAGTGTGAATGCAGGAAGTAAATTTTCAGTGACATGCTGCACTTTATGGTCTTGTATGCTGTAATAAGTTTGTCAACCAGCTGAATGTAGTTTGGTGCACTGTAGTTGCCAATTCTCAATAACATCCTTGAATGCCCACTCCCACTAAGACCCCATTCTCACCAGGGTGGTTTCGTTGCGCAGATTTTTCCACGCTGAAATGCTTGCAAATAAAATCCCATACAATCCTATAGTGGCCATTCATGCAAACGCGTGGAATCAAGCATTCAAATACCCCTGTCGCTTGAAATAGGCCCTGAGCTTGTTTTGTCGCACTGATCAGCTCGTTTTGCTCCATAGGCTTCAATGATCAGCACATGTTTGCGCTATTCCGTGTGTTTTTATGTGTGTTTTTAGCAGCTGAGCCTACTCCCATTGGACAACTGAAAACGAGCTTAAAAAAGACACTGACATATGAACAAAAAACACCTGTAATACACGCTGAAACTCACATTAAAAACGTGCAAAGCCACACTAAAAAATGCACGAAAACAGCTGAAACGCTGTCACCCTGGTGTGAATGGGGACGAACAGATCTTCAAACCTTTTATCATTGATGACATAACTGATCTATAGACCAAGAAAATACCTTCTTTAACCACTTGCTGACTGGGGTGTTAAACCCCCTTCCTGTTCAGGCCATTTTTTAGCATTCAGTGCTGCAGTACTTTGCCTGAAATTAATTCTGTCATGCAATGCCAGTGATTGGAGCGGAGATCAGCAGCTGGGATCATGCTGACCTCCCTCTGATCTCAGCATATAGACCCGCCTTGCCGTTGACAGTGGCGATGGAGGACTCACACAGACCGCACACTTGCATTTACAATACAAGCGATCAGGTGGCTCGATGGCCACCCGAATGCTTGTATGTAAACAGCCGTCACTGCCTGTTTAAAAGGGCTACAGTTTATCGCTCGTGCACATGCACGGCTGTGCATGCGCAGGAGCAGGTGAGGATGTTTTAAAATGCCCACTCGCATTCAACAGTGTCCTGTCCGGCCATTTATTTACAACGGCCGGACAGGAGGTGGTTATCACTCTCACAAAATTTCTCATCAGTCTGAGTTTTAGGTGAAGAGGAGATAAAAATATCTCTGCTGGGTCATCAAGTGGTTTATGTGCCCATTTTTTTGTCCTGGAACCAAATTCTTTTGGCATGGCCATTCCTTTTTAATGCAATGTGACTTTTTTGCACGTCTGTTCATTCAGAGATAAAACAACAGTACTTGGTATATCCAAGCTGCATTCCAAACAGCAGTGGCACTACTTTAGATGTCCACAAATAGCCCAGTTGTACTTGGTGGTACTGGATGTGCTTCAACAACCGTTCCATGTTTTTGAATGTTTCCTTCATGTGTGCAGCATAGTCAACATGTATTGAAGGGTGTACTTTGCTGTTGTGTAACAAAACAGCCTTGAGGCTTAATATTGATGAATCAGTAGAGATGAGATGTTATTCTAGTGGGTCATGGTCACTGAAAGCCATGATTGAACTGCATTAATTAGTCAGCTAAACTTAATTAGTGAGCTGGCACTTAGTGAGCTGGCAAGTGGGAACCCTGGGAAGGATCCCAACACAAGCTTCTTGATATGTATCTTGATATACGGCATCATGTAACACAGGTGCTACTTACAGTCAGTGATAGTCTGTCTGCAGTATGGTATACAGGAAATGTAAATATATACAGAGTTATTCACAAAAGGGTGAAGCGTTTGGAGAAGGCAGGAGAAGTGAACAATCTAGGACAACATAGCTGATTTGGAAAAATTCTCCAATTCAGCTGACTTCCCAGTTCAGCGATGTTGTCCTAGACTGTTCACGTCTCCTGCCTTCTCCAAACTCTTCACCCTTTTATGAGTAACCCTGATAGTATTTGGAATATTGCTTGAAACTATTTGTCTCCACAATTGTATCACTCTGAAAGTTTTTATGTATATATACAAAAGATAAAAAAAGGAATAGTACTAAAGAAAATGGCACTCAGTCGGTATATATCCAGCAAAACAAGATGCTAATAGAAGAGGCAACTTACATTAAGTGCACAATATAATTTTAAATGTAGTTAAAACTTATTTCTAACTTTATTATTATTATTATTATAGGCGGAGGTCATATACCACAAACTATGCCATTATACAGCCTTAGTTTAATGGTAGGCAATTTAAGAACACAGTTCAGAAAGCTGAGCTCTAGCTCACCTTCCCCTGTCCATGTGCCAGGTTATGCTAGCTTATGTAAGAACACAGACGTACAGACTTGGACGGCATCTTGCAAACACTTTAATTTTACCATTTAATTTCTTTAACCTCTTGTACTGATTGCTTCTGAAAAATAAAAATGCAATTTAAGGCATTTGTGGCAACCCATAAATCTCATGTTTGGAACATGCTCATAAAAATGATGTCAATGACCTTGATTTACTAATGGCGTAGAGCATGTTTCCTTTGCAAAATGGATTTTTTTTTATAGCTTATGGAGTGAATATGGAGAAGCTATGTTGAATGTATGTATCTGTGTTCACTTGTTTGCACATTAATCATGTGCAAAAGCACAAATCCTGTATTTTTGTTTTCCTTGCACATAATTGAGTATTCTTTGCAAAGTAAATTTTCATCACATTCACTAAGCTAAGTGAAAATTCACCTTGCAAAATGAACATGCTCATTTTGCCTTGCAAAAGATAGTACTCTGGCGTGAGCTCTATCACATAACCTGCAGCTCTGTGGAGAAGGATCCAGAGTCTTGTGTCAGCGGTTGGTCCATACTGTATAATCTGTAATTTGTTCTGTCGCCTCTAACGTGCTTGTCGGCAGTGAATTGGACCTGGCTAAAAGAAAACATGGAGGCAATGTTCTCCACTTCTGCTTGGGGAAAAAGGAGCTCTGTGAAAAGGCTCTGTGTCTGGATTGAGACCCCAAGGCTGAAGCCCAGGCCTAGGCGTATTATACCTCACTTTGTTCAGGCTGTATGTCTGAAGGCCATGTGTGCCTAGGAGATTTTCTGCTAGAGTCATCACTGGAACAGGGATACACCTGAAACTCATGTTTTTAGATACTATAGAACACTCTGACATAAATATTTGATTTTTGTTGTGACTGGTGGTACTTTTTTGTACTTTGCTTTTAATTTGGGACTTAGGATGTTTTATTGCTGTGGAGTCTGGGATGCAATCACACACTGCATACTACTGTGGTTTTTTTGCTGTGGACTTTGTGATACACACGGTCCAGATGCAGTGTGAAGGATGGAGGGCCCCAGACTGAAGGAAGGGCAGACCAGTAATTGCTGACATTGCCGCTGACTCTTCCTCCTGTCCAGGCCCCCTTTAAGTGGTGGAATGCTAGTGCCTGGTCACAGCTGTGGCAGCTGTGATCCTGGTAGTTCTGCCACTGTATAGAGGACTACATATCCCAGCACTACATTATACAGCAATGCAGCATACCACCAGCTATAAAGGACCGCAAATCCCAGCAATACATTATACAACAATGCAGAATACCACCGGCTATAGAGGACTACAAATCCCAGCAGTACATTATAGAGCAACCCAGAATGCTACCAGCTGTAGAGGACTACAATTCACAGCTACACATTATACAGCAATGCAGAGTACCACCAGCTACAGGACTGCCCTGTACCAGTCTTCACCCTCTCCCAGCCCCACTGTAGCAGTCTTCACCCTCTCCAGACACCCCAGGCCCCCCTGTACCAATCTTCACCCTCTCCAGGTCCCCCAGGCCAGGAAATATACTATCGTGACATAAATACAACAATATTATAATGAAAAAATGGCTCAAATAAGTCATTTTATAAAGTAGTGCTCAAATACAGTATGTTCTTATACAAAATGTCAAAAACTCCCATTGCAACTGTAGAATATATGTGTAGCCCTGGCCAGCATCCCATGTAAGCCACACAGCCCAGGCACTGCTTTCTATGGCAGGTTAATCTCCCGCTCTCCTTGCTGATGACGGCTGGGCTTGCTGGAGGTGCCAGAAAGGTTGGAAGGCTGTGTAAACTTTGGATGTATATACTCCATTGGCCAGTAGCTAGATAGGGACCAAAAATGATAGAATGTTACAAAGGGGTCTATTCATGAAGCTGCCGAGGGCAGCCGAGTGAATGACCGATCTGAAGTGAAGTGAGCCGAACACTGTTCGGCTATTCACTTCAGGCTGGTACGGCTAATTTCAGCCGTACATCGGCTGAAATCAGCCGTACATCAGCTTGCTTCGGGTCGGCCGAACATGCTCAGCATGTTCGGCCGACCCAAAGTGCAGAAGGAGTTCGACTCAGCCAATCCAACATCTGGATTGGCTGAGCCGAACCTCCGGCAGGCTACTCACTGCTGTTCGAGCTATTCTTAAAGATCGCGAACAGCAGTGAGTGAATAGCCGAATGCTCGGAGGGACCGAGCAGAACAGAAAAAGAGTGAAAAAAGTGAAAAAAAAGTAAATAGAAAACGATTGTGCGGAGCTAGCAGTGACAGCTAGCTCCGCCAATAGTTTCCTATTGTCCGGCGGCTCTGCTGCTGTCAAAAAAAAA